CATAAAGTCATCCAACTGTTATATCTGTGTAACCATGCTTCATCACAACAACAACAAAAAGGTTATTTGAGAATGTAATACAAGCTAAATGCAGAAATGGCTGTCTTTGTGAGAACCCCTACATTTCCCATGCATTTCATTGTTCTGATTCTGGAGTGCAGACGGCTGTTATCTGGAACGGACTGCAGTACTTCCAATTTTATCATTTCGACCCAGTTACAGTGGAGCAGCTGCTTCAGAGGGACACACAAAATGCTCATCAGCAGCAAAGTGATAAGGAAACAGGAGAAGACATTAAGGAGAAGCGGCTCCTAAAAACACCCCTGTGTGCAGGCTTGTCGAAAACTAAAGGCTGTATTGAACCGATAGGGAATACGCTTGGTTCTGTAATTTCTTTAAACGCATTCAGTGTAAATCTATGGGAGATAAATATTGTATTTAAAAATATCGAACACCCTTGTGTGTTGTTGTTCGTATTGTTTTCTATTGTGTAGTCAAGCACAGTTGAAATTGTAGGTTATTATGTCTTTAAGTTTTCTCTGTTCACCCTCTGTCTGAAACCAGAGCCCAGTCTGCTCTGATTGGTTAGCTGGCCGGCTCTGTTGTGATTGGTCGACCGCTTAAAGATGTCCCGCCCCTTAGCCTATCACGTACAATGTGATCGAACGCTAGCCAATAGAAGTGTCACACAGTGATGTCACTATGTTACAGATGTAAACAAAGGAGTCCATTGAAGGCGTTTCAGGCAGAAGAGGAGTGTGTTGGAGAGAAACGTTGGGATTTTAGCCTTTGGAGACCATTTACATGCACACAAACCTAGGGAAAGCACAACAAAGCATGAAAGGGCCTCTTTAAGAAACAATAACAATTTTCCGACTTGATACTCGTATGAAATAGCTGCAATGATAGCGGTGTTTTGCGTGTTTCGTTGGACGATTTGTCCCGATGTTAAGGGACTGACTTGTTTTGTTTTCTCAGACTTTGATGGAAGTTCTCCTTTAGCAAGTTTTGTGTGTATATGTGTGTTTATGGAAGCATTCATTAGCGGTGCTGATTAAATCGCCTAGCCATTAATGCTACCCTTCCCCTTCTAAGCGGGTTTTAATCAGCCTGGCACCATTTAGTATCTGCAGGCACAATGCAACACAACACACAATCTGTGCTCCTATCTGTCTGGTGATCGTACTCTGTATCTGCCCGGCTTCCAGTCTGGAACTCATATGCCAATATAACAAAACATTGCAAAAAAATCTAAATGCACTAAAGTTGTTATCATGTAGTGAATATTTGATGTCTAGTGTTGATGTGTAGTGTTGGTTATTACGTTATACAAGGAGCTGCAAAATCTGCAGTTCTTGTAAATCAATCTTTCCCAGCAGTAAAACATTGCACGGCCTCCTTGCTACAGTATCAGAGCTGTTTAGGCCTTTGATTTATCTCTGACAGCGGTGCAGCTGTCAGTTTAGACCAGAACAACTACAGTGTTGTGATTTTCCTAGTACAGGTGCAATGGTATTTGTCTTCCTAACAAAAGCTTGAAGTCGGGAATTGTAGAAGCATGTGGATGACTTCTTATGGAGTTTTGCTTGACGTTTTCTACATAGAACAAAGAAAATAGGGCCAGGCTTGTGGACAGGTGTATTTGACAGCATTCATTGGAGTTTGTTTTAGCCTCAGGTTTAACTCAAGTTCTAATAATTTGATATCCTCTAATTAAAGCTACTTTTAATGATTGCGCCTTTCAGGTACGGTAAATACTGTTATAAGATTATACATATTTTATTGCACCTGTCCCTCGTGCATGAATAATCCATCCATCCATTCATTGACAACCTCTTACCCGGAGTCCCAAACTTCTCTTTCCCTGCCACATCAACAAGCTCTGACTGGGCGATTCCAAATTATTCCGAGTTGTAATTCCTCCAACTGGTCCTGGGTCTTCCCCTCGATCTCTTCCTAGCAAACCTCAGTGGCTCCTTTCTATGCTAAGGAGCAAAGGCTGAACTCAAAGTCCCTTCTGAACTCCTCACCTTATCTCTAACATTGATGCCAGCCACCCAACTGAGAAAAACCCATTTTAACCACTTGTATTCCCAATCCAGTTCTTTCGGTCATCCCACATCCTTCATGGCCATAGGTGAGAGTAGGAACAAAGTTGGAACTCTCACTTATGGCATGAACAATAAATGCATATGTAATATCATTTTATGCATGATCCATGATGCCAGACATACAGGAAATTTGAAATGCATTTTCATAAAAGACACACCAAAACTTCACAAACCATGTTTTCAGTCCAGCTCAAGTCTCATTACATTACATGTTACTTGTTAGACGCTTTTATCCAAAGCGACTTACATACTCAATACTGTGGACAATCCCCACAGGAGCAATTTGGGGTGAAGTGTCTCAGGGACACAACGACATGCTGACTGCAGTGGGGTTTGAACCTGTGGCCCCCTAATCCCAACACCAAGGCTCTATCCACTGCGCCACACGCCTCCCTTAAGGGAAGCCATGCTCCCCCAGGCTACTCTGTAATTGGCACCCTCATCCAAGCATACTTTTATATTACCTGTAAGATAGACTGAGGTCTGTTGAGCGTTCATTTGAAAGTATTTTGCCGTTGTTCAGCCTACTGAAGGGACAACGTGCAGAGAGAAGTAGACGTGAACTTACAGATACAAGACGACACAACCCAAATATATCTTAATCAGGGAAGGTCTGCTCTCACATCAGAACCATGTATTCAGCTAAGAGGGTTCACCATGGCAACAGGAGACTTGTGAGCATAGAAAAACGATTTCCCTCGTAATTGAAGCAGGAGGATGATCATCACACTCTTCACCCTGCCCATAGAGTTATGTCTGTGCTTCTTTTTTTTAAGTTGGCTAATATGACTTTGAACAAGCTTATCCTCACTTCTGGAACATGATCTTGAACCTCTAAATACTTACCTGCTTTACCTAAAAACACATTAAGCCTCTTTGGAATGCTTCAATGGTTTGTTTATATCGTTTTTTACCGTTACCCTTGGCTTTGAGTTAAAACATACGCTATAAAAGAAGTGGAGGTAGCCACCTATGGGTTTGTGGACGACTTTTTTTAACCACAAGTCGTCCACAACCACAAGAACGGAGAGATAAGCACAACCAACATTCTTATGCCACCAAATTGTTAAATCACATATTGTGAAACGGTCAAAAATGTCTAATTACCTGTCAATCGTAAGGTAGCCTTTTCCTTAATCATACCTTGCTTTATCGTCTGATTTCCTCTGAATTGGAACATAGTTCAAAATCAACTTCAGGCTTTATTGGGAAAGACTTCAAATTAGTGTTTGAGACCATTAACTCATTAGGGAAATGCTTACTTAGCTAATAAATCAAGTAAGAAGTAGGGTCATTTTCTCATACACTTCTCGAGAATCCATCTTCTTTTTGCAAGCAGTGGAGTTGCCCCCTGCTGGCCATTAGAAATAATGCAGGTTTAAGACACTTCTCAAACCTGGGGTGTTTTTCAATGTCGAGGACGCTTCCTTGGTAGGACATGTCTTCCGAGTCACTTCCTTCAGAAGCGAGGCAAGAATCCTTCCTAGCCTCGGAAAACGAAGGATGGTGGAACAGGCTAACAGGTGTGCAGGTGTGCGTCATATGCGAGGCCCCGCCTTAAATGCTGCGTGATTTCCGCCAAAGATTTGGAAATTGTTCCGTGCGCAAAGCATTGTGGGGATTTTAAGACAGTGGAGGATACACATGTGCAGCCTCGAAATGTCTCGCTACGAAGGACGCCGGCCTCGGTAGAATTCCAAGTAGCCTGGACATTGGAACAGTCCTTCAGCGGGACTCGATGACGTAGCATCCTTGAAATAGTGGCTCTGGAGCATCCTTCCTTGACATTGAGAAACACCCCTGAATGTTGCCTCTTGGTTGAGACCACCCCCTTCTGGTGGATATATGTAAGACATTTTCTGCACCATTTATCAAAAGCTTCTTGTCAATTAAGCCAGTAATGGTTAATGAGCCCTGTATCCATGAAAATATGAATCTCATGTTGAATGAGATACAGTCATTACAGACACTCGACATACTAGACATTACATTTATGCTTTTTCACTAAATGTTATACCCTCTTATATTTATATTATTGCAAAAATGGTTATTTCATTGCATTGAGATATTAGCTGTGGCAATCTAAAAACTCAAGCTGTAAGAAAAATACAGTAAAAAAGGCCGCTTTAAACTAGTGGGTTCTAGACCCCTCTAATAATGCAAATAAAGACATCTAAGTGACAGTGACAACTGCATTGATGAACACATGTACAATAACTTATTTATTGACTTGTTTACATTTTTGTACTGCCTTTACTGTTTTGTTCTTGTATTTGTATTTGTATGGTAATGTTGTATTGTTCTGTAAGCGTACTGTTCTATGTAGCATAGGTCACATTTGTTGTCACTTTATATAGTATATATTCAACGTTTTTAGCTTGTATTGTCAAATGATATTTGTACTGTCTGTTATGTGGGATTGCACCATTGGGAATGCTTGGAATGTTGCTGTACTCTGTGTAGTGACAATAAAGGAATCTATCTATCTGTTCTATCTATCTATGTGTTAATGCCATATTCACAACTGCAGGAAATTATCATTTTGACTAGGGTTTGTTGGGCTAGCACCAGGCTACAGAGAGTTGTGGTTCGGACTGTGTTCAAACCTTGAGCCCTGTGATTGGTGCCAGCTTCCTGTCAGACGTGAGTGATGGGGTTTGTGATGCAGCCCTCTGTCTCTGTAGGCCACTGCTCTCACTTAACTTTGATTACACTGGCCACAAAGGAAAATGAACACCTCTCTGCTCTCCTGTCGCCCTGCTCTATTCTTTTATCTTTCCCTGCAGAGTTTCAGAGCGGTGGCAATTTCACTTTCACTCTCTGACACAATAAATCGTAGTGTCCTCAGAGGCACTTTGTTGACTCTGAGTGTGTTTGTTTTCTCCCCAGATGAGGTGACAATGGAGGAGGTTGGTCAGGATGCTCAGCTGAGGGCAGGAGAACTCATCATCATCGTTGTGGTGCTCATCATGTGGGCAGGTAATATTCCTCTTCAGCGACACACATTCATCACTGCAGCCCTTTAAGGACTCCACTGTCTCTGGGGCAAATAAGCTCTCTGATTGAGGTCATATGAAGAGACCAACTCAGCCTTAGTCTGATGGTTTGTTTGTGCCATGAAGTGCTTTCAGGATGATGAAAGCTTTTTTTTGTGACCAGCACCAGTTTGAAATAGACAGAAAAGTGTTTTCGGGAGGAAACTGCAATCACAGTTTGAGATTTAGGATGTAATAGACGCTTTTTCTATATTGAAGAAGTAATTTCATAATAAAAACACTTTATTTTAGGTTCTGAGGTTAAACCTTTAGTAGGTTTGTAATTGAAGTAGCTTTTGTTATCTTTAAAGGTCCCCTATTATACTGTTTTTCATCAATATATTATAGGTCTCAGATATATAAAGTGCTGATTCTCTGTCTGTTACTTTAGATGAAAATAAGGAGCCCCTCCCCACTCCCCTCAGAGAGAGATTTGGTTACAAAGAACTCAATGGTGCTCTAGGAGGAGATTCAGGTGATAAGGGGGGGGGGGGTTACCTTGGTTGGCTCATGGTTACACAAGCCAAAACATCGTTATGACATCACAAAGTGGCCAAAATCTGATCAGCTCATTTTCAGACAGGATTTTATAGAAATGGATCAGGACAAAAAGAGAGAGAATCTTTGTTCCTGAAACTTTCAGAGTCTCTTTCCACAGAGGGGACACATGTTGATGTAGAAGAGACATGAAGAAGAGGGGACACATGTTGATGTAGAAGAGACATGAAGAAGAGGGGACACATGTTGATGTAGAAGAGACATGAAGAAGAGGGGACACATGTTGATGTAGAAGAGACATGAAGAAGAGGGGACACATGTTGATGTAGAAGAGACATGAAGAAGAGGGGACACATGTTGATGTAGAAGAGACGTGAAGAAGAGGGGACACATGTTGATGTAGAAGAGACATGGAGAAGAGGGGACACATGTTGATGTAGAAGAGACATGAAGAAGAGGGGACACATGTTGATGTAGAAGAGACATGAAGAAGAGGGGACACATGTTGATGTAGAAGAGACATGAAGAAGAGGGGACACATGTTGATGTAGAAGAGACATGAAGAAGAGGGGACACATGTTGATGTATAAAAGACATGCACAAGTCTTTTATACATCAACATGTATAAAAGACATGCACAAGTGGGTTTTGCATAATAGGTGACCTTTAAATGTCTATAAAATTGCCTTTACATTTTAATTGTTAGAGACAGTGTAGGATTTGGTTGCATCCAGTGTAGCAGTTTCCCCCGAGGCTCCCTCCTCCTGTTACAACACTGCGTTAATAAGCCTCAAAGTGCAAAACCGTGGTATCATTCAGGACCTTCACCTCAGTCAGTGGCTTCTCCTAGCGTAAAACTACTTTAGTAATTATGCGCAACATCATCTGGGCAGCGTCTCTTGGAACTATGGTGGTCATTAGACAACATACCGAAGCAAAATACCCGTTCTAGAACAAAAGATTGGTTTGGTTTGTCTGTCATGAGCCACAAAAACGTATTCACAGCCCCTGCCATCAGTGCAACATACAGTAGACCTAAAGAAAGAAAGAAATTATAGTGCCATAAAAAATAGTGCTAGTGATACAATCGTGAATGTATTGATGAAATAAGTAAACTATGTACATGTAAGAGAGAAAAACATGTTGACGTCAGATGGATGACTTTCTGTTAAAACCAACATCCAGAGATATCCGGGACCTCCATCTAGAGTGCAAATAAATAAAAAAGTGAAGTCACATTTCTATCATTCAAAGACTCAAAGGTTTTATTGTCATATGCACAAAGCTACAGAGTAGAAATGGCAATGAAATTCTTCTGACCTGAGCTCCTCCAACAATGCAACATATAATAAAACACAAAAATACAAAAGACTACATCATGATATTCAATAAACTGTTTGTTGCATCAGTATCCTGCATCAAGATAAAGGACTGAGGTTGCTTATTATCACAGCCTCCCAGTCATTATCTGTGCTGAAGTTCTGCTTGTGTGCAACATAGCACTGTTTTACAGATGCACACGGCTGTGTAAAATATCTTCCAACCAACTAAACAAAGTTTAATGAGATACAAATATGGCCTGAATACTGTATGTTGCCGATACAGTAAGAACAAGCAGGCTGGATCCCCTTTGCCTATTACCCACGAGAGCACGAGAGGCTGAGAATCAAAGAGAGTTGGAGGGAAAAGGAGGGCAGGGGGATGAAAAGGACTGAAAATGAAGAAGGTGAATTGGGTTTTAATTGGGCCCATGAGGCTTTCTGGGGGATATCACAGTGAGATATCCCATCCTAGCCCTGGGTGCGATCAGATGAATGGAGGCTGATATAAGCAGAACAGACCAGACTGAAGCCCGTTCCTCCCACTTCTCCACCGTCATGAATTAATCTCTTTCTTATTTTTTCTGTGCTTGTTATCTATCTCTCTTCGCATCTATCTCCCCCTTGAATCTTCTTCACTGAAGGCAGGCCTCACATGGCTATCTAGTCATCGAGTTCATATCTTCGTGTGTGTGTTTCACCCTATTCATATCTCTCGCTTCAGTTTGGTCTGCTTTATTGACATTTCAAAGACGGTTGAATAAATGGAGAATTACAAGAACACCTAATCACCTCCTACACCTCTTAATGGAAGATGTGTTGCTTTGTATCAAGGTGAATAGGGCTGGAAATAAGGTTTTTCGTGTGTTCACCGAAATGGGGACACAATAATTCAACAGAGAACCATTTTAGATTTTCCAAATGTTATCAGTCAGAATTTATCACTTTTTTTTATAGAAAAGGTACTGCAGCATAGTAGCTTTAATTACTGTTAAAATTGGCAAATATTTCCATTCTTACTTGCTTGTTCTGGGGCTTTTCGAATTAAAATATTTTAATGCTGTCAAAATTATCGCGTTAACGGCGGTAATTAATTTTTTGAATTAATTGCATTAAAATATTTAACGTATTTAACGCATGTGCAGAATGGCCCGCCCCATACATCCCACCAGTGGCAGCGCCAGGGTATGGCTGGGGTAGGCTACACCCATACCAAGAAATTGCTTAGCCCCACCATGAAAAATGATGTTAAAGTAAGCAAAATAAAGTCCGCCAACTCGCGCCGAAAATTGCACAGACAGCAGTTAGTAAGATTGATTTCAGTAGCCACTTGTCTGGAAATACCGAAGACCAGAAACGGTTTTTAAAACTTGTGTCACGTAGTGATCGTCTTCTCAATAGAACATCTTTGATAATGTCTTCTGGCCAATCAGAATCAAGATAACGGCGTGGTGTTGTTGCAGGAAGTCCCGACGGAGAATACTTTTGCTGTAGTACAGGGGTGCACATAACTGGTACGCAGGTTATGTGCGTAATCTGAAATGCGTACCAGCACTTGTGTCACAAAGCGCATTTGCGTACCGACGTACTTGTGAAGCTTTTCCAGAAGGCGGTTAGATCACCGGACGACAGAGTCGGTCTCCGTGTGCACAGACAGGGCTGCTGTTAACGCCGGTCTGTACAACGGAATTGTGCCAAAACTACGCCAACCGGCTGCGGAGGGAGACTCCCCCCCCCCTTCACTGGAGAACTGTGCTAAAACAGCTGATCACAACGTTCACACTCTGTGGTCACGAAGTACTCCACTAGCCCCCCCCCGTCGATGAATTAAGACCCCACGGTATGATGATTGATAGGTGCTCTCTTTCATTTTGACACACAGATTTTTTTTACAATAAACATATATATATATATATATATATCCGCCTTCTTTCATTTATCTTTCCATTCCCACAACAATATACATAAAGAAATGGCATATTTTGGACATAGTTCGAATGGTGATTCATCATGATTAATTATTTTTTAAGCTGTGATTAATCTGATTAAAAATTGTAATCGTTTGACAGCCCTAAAATAAATATAAGTACGTATCCCAAACTAGTCATAACTTAACATGACAAACCATCGTCATTTGTTGCTCGTTACATACCGACGCTTGTTAGTACACTCTTTTTATGCACGGTTTGATTATGATGTCCATTTGTCTACCAGGGGTGATAGTCCTGTTTTGTCGCCAGTACGACATCATCAAAGACAACGAGCCCAACAACAACAAGGACAAAGCCAAGAACTCCTCAGAGTGCAGTACTCCAGAGCACCCACGGGGTGGAATACTGCGCAGCAACGTCTGAGACCAGCAGAGCCTTGTGCAATAACCGACTCCTCCAACCTCAGGACAGGTGAGGAATGACCTTCTAATAGCCTCAGACAAAGGACTTGTCTCTATTCTTGTCTTGTTTGATCTCAGTGCTGCATTTGATACTATCAACCATGACATCCTATTGCAAAGACTAGAGCACTTAGTTGGCATAAAGGGAACTGCTTTAGGCTTAGATCTATCTGAACAGTCTCAGTTTGTATGTGTCAACAATGAATCTTCCATGCAAACTAAAGTTAGCCATGGAGTGCCACAGGGCTCAGTGCTTGGACCTATGTTGTTCACATTATAACCAACAATACAAAGAGTACTAGCTAATTAGAAGGAAGTGCCACATGCTTTTCTTTGTTGCAGCAAAACTATATATTTTCAGGGCAATGGGCGTTTGAGGTTAACAGGCTGTCAGAAAAAAAGCATTTGAGCCAATGGGGTTTGGTGTTTCAGAATAATGGGCTGTCTTAAAAATGGGTAGAGCTCTAAACTTAAGCATATGTGTAGCATTCACGTAGCCATGAAGCATATATTTGAAACTCTGAGACGCTTTTTGTTTTAAAACGAGTCCACTATATACAATATGTACGTTGGAGAAAGACTTGTCAGCCAACTCACAGACTAGTTAATTAGCTAGCTATACAGATGATACCGATCTGCTAATGACAGTAATTTCCACCGAAGGAATGGTAGTCCTCACCTGGAAATGAAAAGCCTGATTTTGTCTCTGCTTGAAATCATGAACCCATTGTTTTTCGAAAAATAATCAAATGTGGAGGAGTCAATATGCCACCATTACCATCCTGTACTGCTGATTCTGGAGTGCTGAAATGGGAAGTAGGTCTAGCTACGTAAATGGAACAGGGTTCACCTAACAGGTCATTTTGTAATAATACATTTTAAAGGTCTCCTATTATACTGTTTTTCATCAATATATTATAGGCTCAGATATATACAAAACATGTCTCTGAAGTGTTTGGCTCCAAACACCAAACAGATCATTGCAGCATTACCCATAATCCTCTCTGTTTCAGCCCTGTTTCAAAAGTGCTGATTCTCTGTCTGTTACTTTAGATGAAAATAAGGAGCCCCTCCCCACGCCCCTCTGAGAGAGATTTGGTTACAAAGAACTCAATGGTGCTCTAGGAGGAGATTCAGGTGATAAGGGGGGGTTACCTTGGTTGGTGATTGGCTAATGGTTACACAAGACAAAACATCGTTATGACATCATAAAGTGGCCAAAATCTGATCAGCTCATTTTCAGACAGGTTTTTATAGAAATGGATCAAAAAGAGAGAGAATCTTTGTTCCTGAGACTTTCAGAGTCTCTTTACACAGAGGATTGATGTAGAAGAGACATGAACAAGTGGATTTTGCATAATAGGTGACCTTTAAGATGTTTCTAATTGTATGTACTTTTCTTTCCAGTCTTCACTATATTGGAACTTTTACTGTACTTTGTCTCTCATCAAGTTCAGTCAATGTGTTTCCTCCAGACCCTGAGACCAACAGAAAGCCATCGTACTGAAGCACAGACAAACCATTACAGAAACTCTTCCTTTACATAATGAAGAACTCTTCCGAAACAATGGACACACATGTGAACAGTCAGAGATGAAACAGAAGAGGGCAAACCTACATTTACATTTGTTGTGAGTGACGAAAACTGGACTGCAGCCTAATCTGGTCGATATAGACACATACAAATGACTGTCAAAGCATGGAGGGGATGTATTTTCCTATAAACAAGAACTGCTTGATTCAAACGTTCTGGTTACTTTTCATCAGTGGCATCGAATCCCAGAAGTGGATCATCAATCATGGAAGTCTGGTTGTTGTTTTTTTGGCTTCAAAGGTCAGACATGGCAGAACAGTGGGAACACCTGAATAAGATGGTTGAGGTAAAAGTCAGCACACAACATCAATACTTTTTCTATCCTTCTATCTACATTCCTTCCTTCTTGTCTTAACAGCTCTTTGTGTGGCAGCCCATCTATCTCCCTGTCTTTCTTTGATTGTCTCTAATAGGTCCAGTGATGTTTGGTGCTCCTGCTAATGTGATTGTTTGAGCCCTCACAATCCCAGTTTAATACGGTATAATTATGTTATTTGGTCAGAAATATTGCACGTTGAGTCTTGTCTCCTGCCTTGCATCATCAGTTAAATGATACTTACTTTCTGATAGGTAACCTTAACACCTTGTCACTTTGTTTTTTTAAATCTCACCATACTGTCCTTATATGAGTTGGATGACACTGTCTGAATACATCCATAATTCAGATAAAGTTCAAGGCTTGAACAGGCAATCTTTCATCACAGTCTTGTCTCATTTCAAATACAAATTGTACAACTTCCATGTTTTGAAATCCATAAGTTAACCTCAGTGTCAATCTTTGAGCTTTCCTTTTTGTTCATCACTGCATTTTCAGCACCATATGTAGGATGTGCAAGGATTTGAGACATCATTTATAATGAAATATACACAAAGTTTGGCTGAGTTTTTATTGTGGTTGGCCTGAAACCAGCATGGAAACCAGACTGTAGGAGAATACTGATAATCCACTGAGTTTTGCGACTGTTTTATAATGTAAACCATTTTCTCTGAGACCCCTTCTGAATCTTTAATTAACATGCAATGCTGTGAAGAGATAGAGGGAAACACATTCAATTAGCCGTCCAATCAAAACTGTTATGAATGTGTAGTCAACAAGCTAATAGATTAAATCTTATATTTCACATCCAATGTTGATATCCCATATTTTCCTTCTTGTCAAAATCGTATGAAAAGATCAATTAATTTATGCCACAGAACAACTTAATATTGAAAGACAGAGCCACGCATTTTTGGTTTTGGTCTTTTCATGGAGTTTGTTGACAAAAACTTAAACATGGCAACCTAATATATCGAAGCAAAAACAAATGGATATCATTACTATGTGCGGCACATTCTGACACCCTATTATTAAAGGATAAATCATTGCATAGTTACCACCTCATTGAGGATTTTATGTGAAGTACTAAAGGAATTTGTCAGGATTATTCAGCTGAAGATAAAGCTTCATTATCTTTTTGTGGGCTTCCTGTTCAATTACGATGTGTTATGCACATAATTGCAATTTATTGGACCCTAACCCCTGCAGAGTTCACTAAGAAATCAGACAGAGAAATGCTGCAAAGCTGAACTCAGCATACTTGCTGCCAAATTAGAGATAATGAGCAAATGTCTGAATGCCTCGCTGCGTGATGACTGCTAATCATCACTGCACACACATATTCACTCACAGGGTTTTACATACTGCGTTGTGTATTTAAATACCGGCCTGTGCAGAAAGAGACAGCCATTACTTTCCCATCTCAATCATCAGCTCTGCCAACACACGAACCCTCTGCCCTGACATCCATGTTTCACTCTGTCCCTTCTAAAGCTGCCTTTCTTTCCTCCTCCATCCCTCCTCCGCTCTGTTTCACATTTATGACTTTCGCCATCCTCTGTTGCAATGCTCTATTTCTCATGTATCACTCTAGCCTTCCTGGTTTCCTCACTTCTAGCTTCCCTCTCCCCTGTTTCTCATTATATCTGCCCTCAGACTCCCGTTAGTCTCCCTTTTCCTCTCCGCATCACCTCTTCTCCCTTGCGTTCGACTTCGATCCACTTTCCATCCCTAATTTGTCACCTCTTGGGATGGCTTGAACGGACACTTCTCCCCATAAACAAGTGAGGGGAAATAGACAGAATGGAGGAGAATGAAATAATTGATTAAAGAAAGCTGACAGGAAAGGTAGAGATATAATAGGACAGGAAAAAGGACCACTTTATCTACACTATTAATAAGAACATAAATAAAAGGAACAGGAATTGTCAGGTGTAAAGAGGACACATCATTGAGCATTTGAGAGATAGTTAAAGCTGTGTGTATAGGGTTTGTACTATTCAGCTTTGGACATTTGGCTTTTAAAGATTGGTGTCTTTAGTTGCATGTCTTTTATTACTATATCATGTAATGAGCCCTCATTGCATATTTAAGATAAGATAAGACGGAGGTTTATTTATCCCCGTGGGAAAATATATAGTTTATTCAGCATTCAACACTTTAAGAGGGTTATTATTATTTAAGTCACCTTGAAACATTGAAAAGTCAGTCAGACAGCATTTTTAATCTTAAAGATCTTATGTTAGTTTAAGTAGCTAGCCGAAGCTAATACAATATGCAAGAGATTAAGAAAACAATGACATACTGTATCCTTTAGGTGTTCAACAAAGCACATTTTGTGGCCGCACCCAAACACAAATGACTATTCAGCCTGGTGCTAAGTTAATCTTAAAGATAGAGTGAAAGTGAAAAAAATAAACCAATTAATTCACACAACAATCAGTGGAATAAAAACGCATCTCAAAGAAAAGGAGAATGATGAAGTGTGTCTGAGGTAGTGTATAAACTAACGCTGGTAGAAGAGAGATCCAATCTGACGTAACAGGAACAATGAACCTGCACATAAACAAAGGAGGCGTATATGAAACGTTGACAGAAGTGGGGCATCATCACTTGGCCTGTAGTGCACAGCAGAATAAAAAAAACACACGCGTCAAACAAAGTAGACTGGAGATTTGATGTCAAGGTTTTTTAAAGGGGAGTGTAGCTGGTGTCTTTTAGGAAGTGGAGTTTGAGTTGATGTCCGCACAGATGGACCAGGTAAAAGCAGCAAAAGACTCCAGTCAGCAAGTGTTTCCTCATCGCTGTGAAGTGTCTAGTCTCCTTCTGTCGTGAGGAAGAGAGCCGGACAAGGACCAGATTGCCGTTGCGCAGATGTTGCCAAGAAGAACACTTTCCTCATTAAAGTTACATAAACTGTCTTTTCCATTCTTCAACTCCATCATTTACAGCAGGTGAAGGTAAACTCCATTCAGCTTCAAAAACCTACCCATGCATTTCCTGGCAACGAATTTGGGGGGAAATTATCCGAACATTTCTGTGATTATCCACCTGGTAATCTGGGGTTAGAAAGGAGGGTTTGACTTGACCTTCTCTATCTATTTTTTTCATTCTTGACACAAATATATCTGTCACTCTTCACATCACAAAGTGCAACAATGGTAATGTCTTCCAGGAGAACTCACACCATTGAGTGAAGCCTTTCTGAACAACTCTGACCACTTTTGATTGTGTTACGTCATCAGACAGCATGATGTACAGATGAGTTTGATAGTGTATATCCCAGCCTCATTTACTCATTTAATTACACACATTGGTAACTGTGCTTGATCGCCAAATCCAGTTGAATGCAAATTAGGCTAGGAGTGTCCTTTTGCAGTCTTTGAGTTAATCGCTTGGTTCATGACCTCTGAGTCACAGCACACATCTTTTGTTTGCTTCTAACAGGTCTGGTTGGCAGTTGACCGATTAGAGTTTGTTGCAGTAATAAATAAAGCTAGAATTGTGAAAAGAATAGTGAAAGGATGAGGAGATTATTGAACATGTTGGTGTTAGTCAATTGTCCATTGTCAAGTTGAACGATTGATGGGTTAGGGTTAAGGCCCTGACACACCAAACTGACACCAAAGAACACGTCCCGACGGACCCGATTGTTGTGTCACTTCACGTCTCCTGCGTCTTGGCCAAAAAGTCGCACTGGAACACACCGCAAATACTTCAGCCGACTTCCAAGTAGCTCGTACGCACTGCGCATGCGTGAGTGGCAATAACTCTCCTTACCAGCAGGCGGCGGTAGTGTGTATTCTTAATTCAAAAGAGGCAACCGGAAGACAGACTGCGTGATAACTGAGAGAAGAAGAACAGACTGCGTGATATAAACAAACAACAAATAGTTCCATTTTCACTCTCGTCCATCACAGACTGTTTCACATAACGACTTATAATCGAAAACATGTTTAGTGCGGTGCTGGAAAATGAAAAATAATAGCCGTCTGTGTGTGCCTTCTTCACTTCCGTTTCGCTTCTCAATCACTGATTCGCTAAGCTGAACAGCGAATCAGAGTGATTTCTTTGGCCGACAGCCTCCCGATTCAACATGTTGAACATGTTGAATCGGGAGCAGAAGGTGTCGGCACGGCTGAAAAGACACGATGGTGCTGGACACACCAATCTGAGTAAGGCGACAGGACGCTCATCGACGGCCAGACATCTATCGACGGACGAAATCGGCCCGGTGTGTCCGGGCCTTTAGGGTTCGGCAAATCAGTCTTATTATCGGGCTGGATTTTAAGTTAATACTTTCACCATCATCTGAGAACTCCAGGGTCGGTATAACGTGATTTGGGTGCAGACATAAGTATTCCCCTTATTTCTTCTTGTGACTTCATTATGCTACAGATGGTAGTGTCTTTCTAGAAAGAGATACACTCCAGAAAAAAGCAAACAGAACAATTATGCTCAACTGAAGAGGACTTTCGTAAGACTTGCTGTCCCTCAATCAACGTTAATGCCACCTTTATAAATTCAATGCCAAACCTCAACCCTTTGCTAAAGTTTTGCTAATTGCAGGTTACTATCTAGACTTGATGAGACTTGAGACTAACCACATCCAGAATTTCGTTTTGTTTCGAAGAGCAATTTCCTCAAATGACAAGAGTTTGACAAGCAACAAGCACATAACTCAAAAGGTCGGACTGATCCTTTCACTGCTGATGTCACCCTCCTTGTTTTGCGTCTGCATCCTCTCTTATCATCTGGAATCAGAATGACTTTGTTCTCTCTTTTGTTGATTGATCAAAGGAAACAAGCGCTGTTGATCAACTTTCCAAAGACATGACAAGGTGAACTTGTCATATGGGTTACCAGCATCGTTCTGATAAAGTGGGTGATAAAAGTATGAATGTGCTCAATAACTGTAATACTATTGAATCTAAAGTTGTAATACCTCCTGTATCGGTTAAATCTAAGCACATACACACGCTTAAACACTCAATGCATTCAGGCTGGCTGCCGTCCAAAATGACACATAGGGGGAAGCAGCAGAAGGCAGAAGGGTCCAGACAGATCTGTCTCTTTCTATCTGAGACGGCAGGATGCGACTCGACAGCTGCTCAAGGTGAACATCCAATGAGGCATCTGCTAATATTGAGCCTGAGACAGGGAGAGAGACCTTAAGACAGAAAGAGAGAAGGGAAGATGAGTCAGAGGGAATACAAATAGAGTTGGCGGTCATGGAGACATTGATTTTTTTAAGTTGAGGTGTAAGTGAAACCGTCTGGGCACAGTGAGTCCAAATAGGGGTTCATAATTATAGCAAATGTGTAAGTAATATAGACATTAATGTATTGGAAGAAATTCAAACTATTACAGACATGAAATTTATCACTATGACTCCCCTGAAAATGATGTTTCTCTTCAATGAAACTGCATTGTCAATTATCTTTGGATTTAATGGATATTGTTTACCGGATTTGACGCCTCGTAAAAAGTGTCTACGTGACGAGGAAGTCATGTTGCAGACTAGAGTTTGTGTCTCATGTCAAACCAAAAGTGAATGTAACTTAAATGACGTACCAAATGTATTTATTTAAAGCCAAACAATGTCATATTACTAAACTAAACAAAGAAGTTGTGTGGTGTTTGGTGTTTTCCTAACCCTAACCTATGTCAACCATGTGTTTGAAACTATCTCGAAAGAAAATGTGTTTTCCTTGAAACGTAATTGAGAATGCAGTTTGGTGGTAGAGAGGGAAATAAAAATAATTATTTCATCAATAACTCTGAACTTTGTAACTGAAGGCATCTTTCAATGATATGTTTAAGTTATTAGCTCCCCTACTCTTCAAAGCTTGGGTTAAGGTCTCTCCAAAGTAAGAGTATTTAACTTGTATTGATGTTTTAGGCACTCAATCATTGAATTCTTAACATAAAAAGTAAATCAGACCCACCATAATCCCTTGAACCTCTCACACACCCCAAACTGTAACCAAACCCATGCTTTCTTAATCGTCATGTGCCAATTGAAGACTTTAAAAGTGGTTATCGTCATCTCATTCACCTTGGTTTGCCTGTAGTGTGGATGACTGGACGAGTGACTATTGAGAGCCTTGAATATTCACCCTAAGGTCCTATACATAGTAAACAATAGGGCCGTTTACTTATGGCATATATTTGTCCTTGATGTCAAAGCAAATAACCAAGAAGCATGGATTTACAGCAGAATAATGGAGTCAGTGTTTTATGTACAATCATGACGTCTGTGTTTGAACCATTTTGATGTTCATGGGATAAAACCTGTTCATGAGGGCTAGCATGACTCTATTGCTATTGTTCACACCCATGGTATATATGCTATTTCTATGAAAATATAAATGTCTAATTATGTATTAACACATGAAATAAAGTAAATATTTTCAATGCACCATTTATGTGTCTTGGTGTTCACTATACCATCCATGAACTCTGGAGTTACCCTTTGTTTTTGTGACATTATGACATGTATTTTGTATTGATGCTAGGCATTTATGATTAGATGTTCAATAGATCAGCTATTCAACAGAAAATCAATCCATAACTATTTAGATTTTAGACTAATTTAAACACATGGCTCGTTAAATAGTTGTTTTAAAGGTTTCAGTCCTAGTTGAAGATGTTGAAATGTTCATTTTTTAAGAGCATTTAAAGCAGGGGTGTCAAACTCAAGGCCCGGGGGCCAAATCTGGCCCACACCTTCATTTTATGTGGCCCACAAGACCTTGCAAAGAATATAATATGTTTATTATAAGGTTACGTGCCGCTTTACATGAGCACGTTGCCCATAAACTACATATCCCACAATGCATCTCATTTTGTGAGATGCCACTGAAGAGACTTGCAATTATTTCCCCTATACTTCGGCTTTCAGACGTAGTTAATTATGAAGTTATTACCATATCTGATAATAATCCAATGCAGAGGAAATATTGTAAAATAATACATTATTTTATATATATTATATATTTATATAAGTATTTTTATATAGTCATAAAGTTAATTACCACCGGCCCTTTGAGTGCAACCATATTCTAATGTGGCCCACGATGAAATTGAGTTTGACACCCCGGATTTAAAGGGTTTAATATCCATGTTGGATTTAACAATTAACTTGGACACAACAGCTGACAATCTCAACACAAGGTTCATTTCATAGAAAGAATCAAGATCTTTATCTTAAGTAAAAGAAGCAATAGCACAAATACTACTGTATTCAATATTGTACTTGAGGAAAAGTACCACAATATTAGCTTGTTGCATCCGCAGGGCATTTAGGGCACATTTGCAATTACAGCTGAGTTCCTGCTACAGTAATATTCTCTTCGAAGTTTAACAACGTTCAACTCAATTTGATTAATTTGCTACAACAATGGAAGAAAATGTTTTTGTATTCACCCATT